GGGCCGCTGGGCCTCGGGGGGCGGTGCTGGGAGGGAGGGCCTGGTGGGAAGGGCGTGCGCCACCCTGGGGCTCCCCAGGCCCTGGGCGGCTTGGGAGCGTGGGCCAGGACCCTGACTCGGGCGCTCCCAGGGCAGCGGCCAGCTCTCAGGCCCGGGTCCCCCCGTGTGCCTCTGTGAGGTCTGGATTCCACAGTGAGCACAAGAACCGCTGACGGTGGATGTTTCGATGTTAGCCACTGTTCATGACCAGAAGGATGTGCTCCTTAGTGGCCAGCACGAGAAGAAATTGGCTCTTTGCTGGTGTTCATTCTCTGCCGGACTTGTGTCTCTCAGCCCACAGGGAGGCCACCAGGCAGATTGATTATCCCTGGAACCCTTCACCTGCCGGTGGCCAGCCTCCTGACACTTGTCCCCACCGTGGTCACACGTGGGTTTTTATCTCCTGTCATCAGATGACCCTCTGTAGGGCAGCCAGGCCCCAGGGCTCTGACCATAGGGTGGTGTGAAGATGGGGGGCGTGTCCTCACACAGGGCCCTAGCCGGGACCTTCCGGACCTGGGGATGGGAGGCGTTCCTCCCCCCACTCCCTGAGCTCAGAGGCCCACCAGGCCTCCTGGGCTCCTAGGGCATCAGCCAGCCGCTTCAGACAAAAAGGCCCAATGACTGGTTGTGATCCGTGTCCTCATTTTAAAGGAATACGGACTTGGGATGCACTGAATGCGTAACTCGGTTTTCTTTTCCTAAAGAGCTTCCCCACCCATCTTTAAGGTCCTGTCAGGCTCACCCTTCTAGGCTCAGAAACAGATAACACACCAAGCCGAGCTCAGGACGCTCACCGTGGAACCCGTGCGGGAGACCTCCCACAGGCCCGGACAGTTGCACCGCTAACTCTACCTACAGAGAGCGGCCGTGGCTGGCAGGGCCCCAGGGCACCCGAGTGCTCAGCTTAGCTGAGAGACAGCACATTTCCCTTCCACGCGGGGCCTGAGGCGATGGCAGGATGCGGAGGGCCGCGCCAAGCCCCAGCGGCTCAAGCTGTCCTGACGGGGCAGAGACACCAGAGCCCACCACACCCTGTGTGGGGAGGCACCAGCCCTGGGGGCCCAGAGGGGCCCAGAGGACCACTGGGGGGAGGGGGGCAGGTGCACCGGCGGGTGTCGCCTGGAACTTGGCTTCCAAGGGACCAGGAGACGAGGTTAGCCCTGACATGGAGGCAGGCTGCACAGGAGTCCCTGGGCGGGTCTGCGTCCAGTGCTGAAATGCAGGGCCCCGGGGGAGAGCGGGGCCTGCCCAGGACAAGGGGGGCGTGGGACCTGCCCAGGACAAGGGGGACGCGGGGGAGAGCGGGACCTGCCCAGGACAAGGGGGGCGCGGGACCTGCCCAGGACAAGGGGGGCACAGGACCTGCCCAGGACAAGGGGGGCACAGGACCTGCCCAGGACAAGGGGGGCACGGGACCTGCCCAGGACAAGGGGGGCATGGGACCTGCCCAGGACAAGGGGGGCATGGGACCTGCCCAGGACAAGGGGGGCACAGGACCTGCCCAGGACAAGGGGGGCACGGGACCTGCCCGGA